ATCTTAGCAAAGTTATAGTTCACACAAAACCTCAAATGATTCAAATCATTCGAAGGCCTTCGAATATCAGTACCCACTTACTTAAAACTGACATACAATGCAAACTGACTGTATGAAGTCAAATGAGATGAAGTCAAATGCATCTGAAGTCAACACCGAAACTCAAAACTTGTCAAAGAGATCAATTAATCGTTGTTGGGAAGAAAGCCGCCGCCATATTGGAATTTAACATACCTCGCAATAGACTCAAAAGAAATTGTTCATTTTCTTATCAGTATTTTAAAACCTGTTAAAACATTCCATGCAGTGAGTATTTGGTTTCTAATATTTATACTTCATGATACACAGTACTTATAAAGACCCATTCGGCAAGGTTTTTGTCATGTTTATTGTTCAAGTTTCCAACTACTCAAAGCCTGACTGAAAGCTTAGCATCTTTCCCCATTCTTGCATGTGCATTTGTTTTCAATGACAAAGAAAAATGTTGTACAAATGTTGTACAGTGTACAATGTTGACGCTAGTGTTCAGGCACCATACAGACAAAGAAACATGATATATATTTAGGGATATTTTATGCTGGTCAAAATGTGTTGCAAAAAGTCTATGTGCATTCACTATGTGAAAGAAATGAAAGGAATACACAAGTCTAATGATTTAAAACAAATCCTGCACATTGGAAATGAGCTCTACAACAATTTATCACAATAAGCACAACATTTGTTCTTAATGTTAGCAGAATTGCCTACAATGCTTACAGTATTAGATCAAAATTATCAACTAGACTATTGTCTAAGCTACACTGGTACTTTATACATGGTAAAAATTATTAGTAGTATAGATGGATAKAAAKTTTGTATGGGACTTTTGAGAGCTTTTGTGATATTTATATCACAATAAATAAAGATCATTTATCTTTGTTGATTGCATTGGGGTTGATATTATTCACTGTATATAAACTGCTCATATAAGGTATTTGACTCTCATGCTAGAGAAATATAGAAAAAGTCATCCACAAGGGAATTTGTGCTATTTCATGTATCGTCTAAAAACAATTTGGTGCAGTCCTTTTAAAAGTTTAAATGGATTTACAGAAACATTGAACTGATTAAGGCATAAAAATTGCTACTGCTCTTATAGCTATAGTGAACAATCAAACAGCTGATAAAAACAATATAGCAGAATCACAAAACATTGTTGAGAGTTGTTTTGCAAAATCCCTTTATTCTATTTTTTATTTGATCATTACAACCTGGAATATTTATAGGACAACAAATACATTTACATTGCAATTGAAAGTAGTGACTTGCAATGCAACTTCTAAATCTGAACTGTTCCTGAAACACAGATTTTTTTACTCAAATAAAAAATAACCTTGCTAGAAAACAAACCTTCATTAATGGTTGTATGGAAAAGTAATAAATCAAATATTGATGAAAATAGATAGGCTCCAGATTTTATTTTTTCCATGAAAATGCATCTYAATTGGAAATTGCTTCAGGAAGCCCATGTAAGCGCTCTCTGAGCGTCTAGTTTACTCTAAGATTGTCGTTGAAATCAATGTATAATAATATTTCTTTTGAATAAAGAATATCCAGGGAAATCTAGTCGCACTGATCTGTGCCGATGGCTAGGACTATATTTAGAGGTTGATGACTGAAAATTAAATATACGAACCTATACGACCGAATATGCGAAATGAAAATGAAAACGAAAATCAAAATCAAAATCAAAATGACATGAAAATGAAAATCAAAATGAAAATGAAAATCAAAATCAAAATCAAAATCAAAATCAAAATCAAAATCAAAATCAAAATCAAAATCAAAATCAAAATCAAAATCAAAATCAAAATCAAAATCAAAACGAA